TGAAACTTCTGTGTCAATTGGTGTCCAGTTTCATATCCATGAAAATGTCTACAATGAAATTTATAAAACATTAAAGAAATGGAAAAAGACACAAAATAATGGAAAAATCTTCCATGCCCATTCACTGGCAATGTCAACATAGGGAAAATATCCATTCTACCACAAGCAATTTACAGACACAATGGGATCCCAATCAAAGGTCAAATAACATTTTGCCCAGGTGAGAGAAAACAATGCTAAATTTTACATGAAAACACAGAACATCTGAATAGTGAAAGCAATCTCAGACAACATAAACAAAACTCGAAGGGCAGTTACAATCAAAACAGCTTGGTATATGCAAAAAAAAAGATATATAGAAAAATGAAAGAGAAAAGAATCACCTGAAATAATGCACACATCTCAACTAATCTATCTTTGAAGAAGGAGCTAAAGATCAATCCCAGGTGCAAAGGACATCCTCTTCAAATAATGGTCCTGAGAAAATTCCACATAAAGAACTATGAAAGAAGAACCATACCTTAATTATATACACGCCAAAGAACAAAATCTAAAACTCAATATCAAACTACTAGAGAACATTGGGGAAAACTGAAAGATATTGGCATAGGCAAAGATTTCTGGGGAAAGATCCCAGTAGCACAAGTAACAAAAGCAGAAACAGACAAACGTGATTCCATGAAGCTGAGAAGCTTCTGTGCTGAGAAAGCAACACTCAGCCATGTGAAGAGGCAACAGAAAGAATGGGAGAAAATGGTCTGGACACTATGAAACTGATAAAAGATTAATATCCAGAATCTACAAAAAGCTCAAGGAACTCAACAACAAGAAAACAAAAAATCCAGTTAAGAATGCGCAAAGGCCGGATGCTCCCTCCATCACTCCTGCACCCCTCACCTGGGACAGATGCCCCCTCCATCACACCTGCAACCCACACCTGGGGCAGATGCCCCCTCCATCATGCCTGCACCACACACTGGGGTGGATCTGTCCTCCCTCACTCCTGCACCCTCACCTGGGGCAGATGCCCCCTCTGACACTCCTGTACCACTCACCTGGGCCAGATGCCCTGTCACTCCTGCACCCCCACCTGGGCCGGATGCCCCCTCCATCCTGCACCCCTCACCCAGGGCAGATGCCCCCTCCATCACTCCTGCACCCCTCACCGGGGGATGCCCCCTCCATCATGCCTGCACCCCACACCTGGGGCGGATCTGCCCTCCATCTCACCTGCACCTCTCACTTGCGGCAGATGCCCCCTCTGTCCCTCCTGCACCGCTCACCTGGGGCGGATGCCCCTGTCACTCCTGCACCCCTCACCTGGGGCGGATCTGCCCGTCAGTCCTGCATCCCTCACCTGGGGTGGATCTCCCTCCATCACTCCTGCAATCCTCACCTGGGGCAGATGCCCCCATCCCCAGTCACTCCTGTGCCCTTAATATCTAGGGAAAAAGTAACTCAAGATAAAGCATACCATTCTATAAAGATAAATAGTGAATATATCAATGAGATAGCACTATAATACTGTAAGTTCAAAATATTTGAATTAAAATGTAGCTGAGAAAATAAACTGATAAATCTCCAATCATAGTTGCAGATTCTCACATAATTTTTGTAACTGTTGAAATTAGAAAAAAAGAGCACAAAACATGCATTTCAAAAATCATTGTCGTGGCTGGCGCTGTGGGGCAGCAGGTTAAAGCCTAGCTTGCAGCACTGGCATTCCATATACGCACTGGTTCAAGTCCCAGCTGTTCCATTTCTGATCCACTCCCTGTTAATGTGCCTGGGAAAGCAGCAGCAGATGGCCCAAATCCTTGGGCCCTTGCACCCACGTGGGAGACCCAGAAGAATCTTCTGGCTCCTGGCTTCGGATCGGCTCAGCTCCAGCACTTCCAGCCCTATGAGGACTGAGGCAGCAGATGGAAGACCTCTTTTTCTTCTCTACCTCTCTCTGTAACTGTGCCTTTCAAATAAATAAATTAAATCTTTAAAAAAAATCATTGTCAATAAGCTCATCCTAATCAACATTATAGAATTCTATTTGCAGAAATGTAAATACATGTTATTTTCAGGTACACATGAAACGTTGACTCATTAGACAGTATTTTAAAGTGTCATAGTTAAATCTCAATAAATTTGAAAGAGATAAAGTAAAACAGTCAAAATGTAACAGGACTATATTAGAAATCAGTAAGAAGGAAATATTTTTAAAATATCCAACCATTTTAAGCAATACACTTCTACATAAATCTTCAAATCCAAAAGAAATCTCAGGACTGAAACATATTTTGAGTTGAATATAATTAAAACATGGGTTTTTGAAATCTGTGGCATACAGAAATAGCAGAATTTATAGGAAAATTAATGTTTAAAATGATCATATTATTAGAAAATGTTTAAATCAATGACACACCCTAAGGAAGTAAATGAAAGTAGATGAAACCAATAACAACAAAAAAAGAGAAAGAGAGTAATGGAGTGAAACAAAATTAAATTGAAAGCAAAGAACACAGGAAAACTAATGATGGTAACTATTGTCTATTGGAAAAAAGGGGAATTTCTAAAACTTTACTAGAATAATTTAACAAAGAAATACAAAAATAACAAATAGCAGAAATAAAAATTATATCCTACAGATATTAAAATAATATAGAAATAAGATGGAATTCATGCTGACCAGTTAAATAATTTCGATGAAATGAATAAACTCTTTATAATACACAGAATTAGTGTTAAATGGGATGATGATACTCCACTTTCCGTAGATCACACCCACAGCAGATGATGCTTGCTCTGTAGGCACTGATAGGTTGGCAAAGTCACTATGAAAACTTCCACATTTATGTTCATCATGAAGAAGTAAGGGAATGCCAACTGATTACCTATTTGCTTGGACCCAGCGTGCACAGATTCTAATCCATTCCAGTTTCTACAACATAAGTAATATGTACCAAATAAATTTTTTAAAATTTTGTATGATTTACTTATTAATTTGAAAGCCCAAGATACAGAGACTGTGACATAGAGAGATCTTCCATCCAACTGGTTTACTCCCAGGTGGCTGCATCAACCACTATGGGACCAGGACAAAGCCAGGAGTCAGGAGTCAGGAGTCGAGACTTCCCGGTCTCCCGAGAGGGTGGCAGGGCCCCAAGCACTTGTTCCATCTGCCACTGCTTTCCCCAGGACATTCGGGAGAATCCTGATCAGAAGTGGAACATCCTGCATACAAACCAGTGCCAATATGGGACGCTGCCATTACAGAAGGTGACTGAACCTACTATGCTACAACACTGGCCCCCAATTTTTTTATTGATTGGAAAGGCAGGGACACACAAAAGGAAAAAGACAGATGGGGAGAACGTCCATCCTTGTTTAGCCCTCCAAATAGGTACAATATCCATGGCTGGGCCAGGCAGAAGCCAGGACCCAGGCATTCAACCTGGGTCCATGTGGGTGGCAAGGACCCAACAACTTGAGCCACTACCTGTTGTCTCCCAGGGTGGGTATTACAGGAAACTGGAACTGCAAGGAGAGCTGGGACTTGAACTCAGGCCCTCTGTTATGGGATGGGAGTGTCCCAACAGGTGGTGTCATTGCTGTGCCACACACCCCCCAGAGAGAAGTTTACCAGGAGAATCCTGGATGCCATGGTTGAGCTAGACTGAACTCAGCAACCAGGAGCTTCATTCACATCTCCCACGTGGGAAAGCAGAGAAGATGGCCCATGTCTTTGGGCCTCTGAATCCAACTGGGATACCTGGGGGAAGCTCTCTGAGCCTGGGTGCAGAAGATCTGCTCCACCCATCCATGGAGAGAGAGCCATGTTCCCAGAACCAGCTCTCCGTGGCTGCTCCACCTTGGGTTTTGAGCCCCTGAGCCTCTGCTATGTTGAGTGCCTGGGAGTACCTCACAGTCCTACCTGGGTGCACAGCCCCCATCAATCCTCCCAGCCAGACTCAAGGTCAGTGGGGAACAGGGACTTTGCTCTCTGGCAATATCCCTGGATCCCACACGTGCACCAAGAGTCACTCGCCACAGCCCCTCCTCATTTCATACTGGCTTCTCCTCCCCACCATCTGCCCAAGACCTGCTCAGCTGCTACTTACACCCATAATTCCACCTGCCCTCTCTCAGCCACCTGTTTGTGGGGAAACGGGGAGAGGGAAATGTGTCCCCCCTTTTTTTTCACTGCGTTAGTGGGTACCCTATCACACTCAGGACTCCAGGCCGCATTCACAGACAGTGCAGTCGACCAGGCTCTCCCTCCAGCTAGATCACCAGTGCCACAGGTTTCTGCAGACTGATCTTACCTCACTCTCCAAAGCTGGTGCAGTCTCCTGCTCTCAGCTCCTGGGGTCATGTGCTGTGTCTGTGCTTGCTGCTTTGCATCCACGTGGGCCTTCCACCATGATCCACAGTGTCCCTTCCTTCCTCAGCACTTCCTATAGTTTGCTCTCCAAGTCTTCCCTAAGAATGTACTTCATCCACTATTTTTTTACTGTTTTCCCCTAGCCTAAAGCAGTACACCCTTTCCCCATTCTGCTCTTTTGGAATCCCCAAGATGCTTTACTTTAAAATAGTTATGCCTCATGAACGGGCATAGCAACATAGCAGAATGCAATTATTTTTTAGAGGTATGGCATAAGCAAATTTAGTTCAGAGTATTGGTTAGACTTTGTGGCATTTATTCTCACTAGTTAATTTTCAGAAGTCTTACTAACAGTAAGGAATTCCTTGGGAAATTTAACAGTTTCCTTGCTGAAAACCACCGGGTACATTGTTTTAGAGTAGAATATTATGCCCTCGTCAGAACATTAGTCAATGCCATGATATTCACTCTCTGGCAAATAACTCTTTTCTGAAAATACAAAGGGAGAGACATGAATGAAATTTGCATTCTGGCGGCGCCGCGGCTCACTAGGCTAATCCTCCGCCTGGCGGCGCCGGCACACCAGGTTCTAGTCCCGGTCGGGGCGCCGGATTCTGTCCCGGTTGCCCCTCTTCCAGGCCAGCTCTCTGCTGTGGCCAGGGAGTGCAGTGGA